AAGGAGTCACTTCTTGGTCAAAAAATATAAGGGGAAGCCAAAAAATATAGTAATCAAGATAAGTAATATTTTAATACAACATTTTACAAAATCAAATAGTGCAAAGAAATCCATGATGACTAAAAGATCAAAATGTTAATTAAAGAGAAAGATTCAATCCTGCACTTGCATGACTCTGCCTTACTGCCTCACTCTAATCTTGGCCTTAGTAAACCCAAGTGTTACAGAAGGGACATTTTATGTTTAAGAATTTCCTACATAAAGTCAGTATGTTTGATGGGCAGAATGGATGACCTGAGTGTATCTGCATATTAATGATGTAAGTTTTTACTAGAATGGGATCAAAAACATTTTTATCACATATTGAAAATATATGTTATATTTCTGAGAGTAATAACATCAGTGGGTAACTTTTATTGAGTGCTTACTATGTGACACTCACTCTACTAGGAACTCTACATCATTTATTTCTTTTAATGCTCATGGTAGTCCTGTGAAGTAATTACTGGTATTAACTCCAAGATGAGACCGAAGGTCAGAGTGTTAAGTATTTTACTTGCGGTATTAAGCTAATAAGTAGTCAACCTAGGCTGAACATATTGAGTTGCATGCAAACAACCCATGCAGATTTAGTGGGCAATAACCAACTTGAAACCTGGTTTCAAACCGCTTGCTAGTTGTGTGCCCGTAAGCTACTTATGTAACTTCTCAGTGTCCTTTTTTCTTATCTACAAAGTGGGGCTGTTAATAGTGTCAATCCCTTATCCCCTCATGGTCTGAGAAATCACTCATTCTGTGTCTGAATCTTTTTAATTCACAACTGAAATCTAGGGCAATATAGTTTAAAATGGGCTTCATGAACCCAAGGTGGTTATGTAGGTTTAGGTGATGACCTGTCACAAAACAACTTTATAGCAAGATTGCATTGCTAAGAGCTACTCCTATGTCCTGTAAGACTTATGCATATAATTCCAGAGATATGAGAATGGGAATCATTTTCTTCATCACCCCATGGCTTTCCCTGGTAACTTGCTCTGCTTTCTCTCTTGTTTTTTAGAATCTCTTAGGTTGAGAGAAATAGAGAAAAAACAAGGGAGAAATGATGATGATAATGATGATGATGATTGCAGTGGTAGAGGTGGTAGTAAAGGTGATGATGGTGGTGGTGATGGCTAACATTTATTGAGGCCTTATTAAGTGCCAAGGACTGTGGTGAGTGCTTTACTAGCATGATTTCATTTACTCATCAGAAAAAAAGCCTATGAAAAGCTGCTTAATCTCCATTTCCATCAGGAAACTGAGTCTCTGAGAACATAAATTACTTCCCCAAGATCATAAACTCAGATGTATGTTAGGGTCTATGCTCTTAACCACTACATTGTAGAAAAAAAGAAAGAAGAATTAAATGACAAAATTCTAGATCAGCCTTCCAGCTTCTTTTAAAGAGAGACTTCAGATCTGGTTCAGCTCCTGGAGAAGTTCCCAGCTTTCCAAGGGCCCTGATGTCCTGTGTGCCATAGCTTTTTTTTGGGTTTCAAGTTCAAAATATCATATTTTAAAGGAGCCCAGGCTATTGGGGATTTTATTTCTTTAGTGCCTTTTTAGGATTAAAGTTAGGGACTTACAAATCAATATACCTGAAATAAGGGGAAAAAGCAAAGAAATTGTGATTGCACTTAAATACTTAGTACATATTGTCAGCTCACAATTCTTATTTCTATGGATTCAGAATACATTTTACCAAAAATTTAGTGCCCAGGTGTTAAGATAGCTCTGAAAAAGGCATATTTGAACCACAGACAAAACAAAATGGAGAGAACTTTAAATGTTTTATTAATTTCCTCTTTTGAAGAATCATAACAAATCTGCTGCATGAGCATCGATCTCAAATCAAGCAAACCTGATTAATAAGCACTGTGCGCCCCATGAGAAAGAACAGGAACAACCCAGTACCCAGAAATGTGCTGATACATGTTTAATGACTGACTTTCTCTGAGGGGGAAAGCCCTGGTTTGTGGCATTTGCTAATTTCCGTGGTGTGAAAAAAACCCCACTAAGATCTATTTCTTTAGCTAACAGTGTGATATCCCTGTACGTGGAGCTGGGAAGAGATGTACAAGATCAGCTGTCATGACCAGCACACCTAGGTGGGAAGAACAGGAGACAGTCAGCTGATTCAACCGATAGCCATCCTGGAGAACTGCCCTTTCAGGACTCACTACTTGTGTGACCTTGGGCAAGTCACTTCACCTCTCTGGGTCTTTGTTTCCTCCTCTACAAAGGATTCTATGGAAGATCCCTTGCACGTCTAACATTTTAAAGTTCTAGAAGGCAGTACCTCCTGCTTTTTCCGACATCCAAATGCCTTGAAGCGCCTTTCTGGAAAACCAAGTTAGCACTGTGCTGCATCCAAAAGTGCCTCCAATTTCATCTACTGAGCATAAGGTTTGGAAAGGAGTGACTTACTCCCTTTTGCCTCTTTAAATGTGTAGCCAATGGGGCATCATACATTTTTTACACTTCTTTTGCTAGATGTGAGATCCAGGAAGGAAAGCATGGATGTTCCAGGACTTTCTTGTTCTCCTGGGTTGGAAGTCTGTGTGTGATGCACTGATCCATTGCTGTATGCAGTTTCTACCTCCCTACCCTTTCAGCAGCCGAGCAAGAGTGTTGATAGTATCCTACCTTTTTATTTTTATTTTTATTTTTTTTACTATCCAAAAGCCATTTACCAGAGTGGGAACTGCTTACATAAAATGGAGGGGAGGGTTGTGTTAATTTTTTTCTTGAAAGGTGGCACGTCTCTCAGCAAAGAGAAAAAGGCATGTTGCACAAGGCTTGCTGGCAGTGATATAAGCCAGCGCCGGTTTGCCTGTTGTCACAGCCAAAGCAAAATGCCACCTCTGCCTAGAAGCCAGAGTGCCACACTCCTCTTTTGTGTCCCTGAGATGTACTCATCATGAGGCTCTGGGCTTGTAGGTTCGGCCAGGAGTTTCACTAGGGTTGCTTGAAGGTCATCTTCCAACCCCAGGAGGGTGGGGAAAGGGGAGGTTCACTAATGGCTCTCAAAATAGATTTTTTTGAGCCCCCAGATTGCATGTCAGATACAGCCAGTGAGTGTGGAATTTGTGGCCTGGGGTAAGCACAAGAGAGCCCCCAATTGCCAAGAGTAAGGTAGGACTGCAGACACATCAGTGACCCAGCGATATTCCCGTCCTCAGACCACATCTTAACAAACCCAGATGCAGTGACAGCAAAAGCTCCAGAATCCCAAGGCAGGAGGTGCCAAAAACACCCCCAACAACCACTACCAGAAAAAAAAAAGTTTCAGTAAAATGTTCTCACCCCTAGAGGGGAAAACCTGTCCATGCCTGAAGCAGCTTGACCCCAGCAAACACCCTGCCTTCATGGAGTGAACTGCAAAGCTCAAGAAAAAAAATTCCCCCACTCCCAAGTCCTCCTGCTCCCTGGGGAGGGACAGAAGGTTCCTAAAACTGACAGTTTCGCCTCTATGATCTTTAAAAGAGCAGAAGTTGGCTGTGAGGCTGCAGTGCTGCCTCGATTGGGGTAGTGTGGTCTCTGCTGAGGCTGGGCTCCAAGGAGAGCCACAATTGGCTCTGATAAGGAAGGAGCCTCAAAATGAAAGATTGCAAAGAGGGCTTCTGTACGCCATGGCTGAGACTGTGTCGTTTCTTGCAAGGTGAAACTTGGCAGTTCTACCTTGCAAGTAAAAACCTAAATTAATTTTTTTTAAGAAATTAAGTCAGAAACAAGGCTTCGGAAAAACTGTGAGTGTTAGGCATAAACTGATTTTGGATGATCTTTAGGTGAGAAAGGGTGGAGTTACCATCAGAAACATGTTTTTATTTATGCTTTTCGAATCCCCACTGGTGTGCGATGTGTGTGCGTGTGTGTGCGTGTGTGTATTGGTTAGCATGAGAGTATGCATCGTCTCAATTCTCTAACCACTCTTTTTTGCATCTTTTCTGTGCACAGTTCATATAGGTGCCCTATAAATAAATATATAGGTCCATCCACACCTTTTCATTTTATTTGTAAATTGTTTGGTATAAGCGGCAGAGCGTCATGAAACCTGGTGAAGTTTAAAAGATTAGATTTTTTTTCATACTGACACTTCATAACACTGTTCATATGTCTCCGAGTGAGATTTATGAATATATGAGCAGTACTGCAAAATTATACTGCACCAGAGACTTCCTGCACCACAGGGGTGGCAGTCTAAAGTGACACAGCTTCAAGCATTTTTCACAGACAAGAAGCAAAATTTAACCCCCTTAAGGGGAAGTATGATTTCAACAGCTTGAAATGAGCTCATTTGTAGATGGTTTTTTTCTCTCATCTTCGTAATTTTTTGGTGTTAAGATTAAAACAGATTGCACAGCCAATGTAAGGGCACATAAGCTGCCCAGAGTACAGTTTGGCCCTTAAAGAGAAATCCTCATTCATTGTCTTTATTAGGAATGCCCCAATCAGGTAAATTTTAGGTAAACTTCCTTTAAATTCCTGAGACGCTCAGCCTGACTCCCAGAATTGCACTTAACAGACAGTGTCTGGATTTTTCAAAAGGTAAGTGGCAAGGAACGTCAGTTCATTCAGTGGAGAAGTCCTCATCTCTCTGGGCACCAGAGACAATGGCATTAGGAAATAAGCAGTGTCTTGAATCTCAACAGTAAAATTAGCCAATAAAAAAGAGAATCAGATGAGTAAAGATGGTCTCTATGAATTGACCATATAGGAAATCTCTGTAGTGAAAGAGTCCTATGCTAGATTCAGAGTCCAAGCTGATCTCTCTTAGATTGATCCAGTACCTTGTGATTTTGTGTGAATTAATGTTCCTTCTCTCTACGCTCTCAAATTCTTTTTAACCGTTTTGTTTTCTCCGGAACACAGTGGGGTACTCAAACGTGTGTTCTGTTCCCTCTGTACCCTGCAAACGCTCCATGATGTGTTGGCTGGAGAACTTTTGTCTCTTTTTTCAGCAATGGTACAACAGCTCCATGAACGTGATCTGCACCTGGTTAACAGACCGGATGGACTTACAGCTTCACATTTATCAGTTGAAAACACTAATTAGGATGGTAAAGGTAAAAGAAAAAGTAATTCTTCTTCTTTGTAAATAGCTTACTGAACTACCTTTCATTGGCAAGCTGCAGAGCTTCCTTGACACAAAGAGTATTAGTTTCTATCTAAAACAAGATGACTTCCAAAATGATCTCCTACAAGAAAAACCGAGGAAATCACTTTGTGATACATGGTTAATTTAGTACTCAGACAGCAAAGAGAAATTTAATAAAAAGGAACTTGATCTCTTTATCCAGATAGGAAAAATGTTATGTATTTGCCATACAAAAACACTGCAGAAGCCATTAAACCCTTTGTATTGGACTTTCAAAAGCTGGCTTTTGGTGCCATTATGCTAATCATATCAATTACTAATTTCATTTATGGTTTAATTAAATAAAATTTTGCCACAATTAATTTTATAGAAATATTTACCTCCAGCTAGTTCTAAATATGTCCTGTGATCATTATCAGAATGCAAATCAATATTGTTCTCATAGTTAATTGAAGTAGTTTCTCTTACAATGCGTGTATACAATCAAATGTAAAGGATCACAAAGGTGAGATAACATACCCTGAAAGTAGCTTTTTTTCCTGTTCTTGTGTGTGCGCCTTGGACTAATGATAATTATTTCAGCGTGAAATCTCAGTGGTTTACATGAAATAATAAGATCACAGAAGGGGGTAAATACGTTTTTGATCATTTCAGTTTCTATTTGATGCTTCACCATAGAGGGTTTTAAAACATTTGTATGCAAAAATCTTATTCAAAGCACAAAGTCTCCTTTAAAATATTTTAACAATAAATGGAGCTGAATTGCTATTTCTCCACAGTTTGCCAAAAGTCCCCCCCACACACACACATACCCCTGGCCACCCTACCCCCAGCCCCCACCCTGCTTCTTAGTCTCTTTTGGATTAGCACCGTTTCACTGAAGGTACTCCTCTACCCCAGCGCTGACTTAAAACCAATTACTGTTCCGTTGTGTGTAATTAAGGAGAATTATTATCATCTGCATTTGATCTCACAAAGCGTCCACCCAGGGAAGGTTACAGACAGCAGTGTATTGCAGCTCTTAAAGCAGAAATGTATGCACTTGGACTATGGATCTAGCCAAATTTTCATATTTTTTACCTCAGTTCCTTAAGGACAAACTCAGTAGCTGTTGTCTGACCACTTGAATTTCATTTTCTGTGCATAAATATGCTTTGAGGAAATTTTCTGTTTGATCCTTACTGCGTAGGTGTGAAAAGAAGACATAATTTTAATATTTTAAAATTATCATCCCTTGATGACATTTCCAGACCTATGCTGGGAATTAGCAATATTTGATCAAGAAAAAATATAAGTCAGAGAAGAGGTTTAATCTTAGCCTTCTACCAAAAAGAAAAAAGAAACCACACACACATACACACACACACACACACACACACACACGCACACACACGCACACAGACACACACAGACATGAGCCACAGAGAAGGAAGGCAGAAATGTCACTGTCAAAGAAACCTCTTCACAAAAGTGGGCCCAGCTTAACTAATGCCACAACTCAGAAGTATCAAGCAAAATTCACCACCTCTTTACCAAGAACATTATTCAAAGGTCTCGTCTTCCAGGGCAAATTTCCAAGGAAAAATTGGCTTTCTTTCCTGCAACCACAGCCACTCTGTTTATTCATCCATCCATTCATTATTCAGCAAGCATTTATACATTCATCCAACATTGGATACATATTAGGTGAGCCCCTACTTGTATATTACCAGATGGAGGATTAAAAAATGACTAAACGTAGTCCCTGCCCTTAGTCATGGAAAGTCTAATTGGGGTACATACTGTTGTGAACTTTGAATAAAGGAGAGAATACTCAAGCCTTTTTACCTTTCTTTTCCTAATCCTATTCTGGGAACAACTCTGTTGTTCTGAGTAGCAACAGAACAACTAATTGAAAAGCACAAAAATTCAAGTTAATCTTCTGGATATGTGGTGTACACCACGCCTAGTGTTTCCTCAGTCTCCTAACTTTCTCCATTAAGGTAAAGACACAGTTTAGGTAGCTCCCTAACTCCAGATTTAGAATGACCTTATAATTTAGCATCTAAACAAGGTTCCTATTGTGTTATAAGACTTAACTAAGCTGAAATGCATTCATTAGTTAACTAGTTATTATAGCATACGACCTTCAAGAGGGGTAGACACCGTGCTTGTTGACACTACAAGTGCATCAGATCGACTAGTACAATTAGAAATCATGATGAGAGTGGTGTTGGAGTACGTTAGCATTTCTTCTCTTGCCCCATTAGCAAGTTTTCCATATCAGTAAGAGAAACAAATAGCAGAATCAGTAGCTGAAATGATATGCAGTGTGATGAGAAGAGTTTTAGTTAGAGAGAGACCTTTAAAAAAAATTTTTTTTTTTAAGTAGACAACAGCCAGATGCTTCTGGTCATGTTCAATTAACACTGAGGGATTTCTTGAGATACCTAAGGAAATCCGAGAGAAACCGCCTGAAGGAACAAAGAAAGAACTTGTGGTGCAGTAATACCAAACCATTGTTCTTGAAAAAAAGCCAAATTTCTTCCCTGAGACCATGAAGTTGTGAACGGAATAGATACAGTTCTTTCCCAAGGAGACAAGAAATGAATCACATGCCTGCAACATATTGATGAGACATTAGCGCTCCATCTTCCTCATAACTGTGACTGCTTGTAATAGGTTTCCTATACCAACATACATATGTCTGTCTTGTGAATGAGACGCAGCAATATCAGTACAGCTTATGCAGCTACAAGACTCAAAAATACTAAAGACCATCCTGCAACGGAAATCACAAAATACCATAATCACTTGATCTATTATTTACATGTTCTAACCCCTTCCACTGTCTATTTTATTATACTCCACTAACCTTAGGGAAAAAACCAGACCACAAAAAGAAACCAGAACAATTATGGAGCATTTCCCTTTGTAGAAATGAATAAACACAAGCTTATGTTATTTGCTTTGTCTCGTCTAATATAGTTTATCCTGTCACAATTCCTCATTTTCTGTCATTCAGTTAATCTCAGTTTTCAAGTGAAATCTGAGCACTCTGGTTCTTTATTTGACAAAGCATATAGTGTGACACTTAGCTGAAGGTCATTGCTCTCACACCCACACCTGCTTTTCATCCTTTCCCTTCCCATCATAGAGACGAGATCTCCTTATTGCTGTATCTTTTTCTTCCCTAGAAAACCTATAGAGATTTCCGATTGCAAGGAGTCCTGGACTCCACCTTAAACAGCAAGACCTATGAGACCATCCGGAACCGTCTCACTGTGGAGGAGGCCACAGCATCAGTGAGCGAAGGTGGGGGCCTCCAGGGGATCAGCATGAAGGACAGCGATGAGGAAGATGAAGAAGATGATTAGACCATTCGGTCCCAGGGTCCACTGGGACAGAGTCCTGTAATCAGTGCATGTCCTTAGTCTGTTAGTTAACCCCATTAGGGAATTTTCTGTCAACTACCATGCCCATGAGATGTTTCCCAATACAATTGCCATTTTAGCTATGTGGTACCAAGATTAGCAAATGACCTTCAAATCTACTGATTTCCTGATTTCCATGTCTATATGTTTACAATCAATATGGAGCACCATTCTTTAAATACTGTTCATGGAGAATACATAATCCAACTGCTAGGCGTATCCCTGTTATCAGCAAAGATAAACGATGCTTCACTCATGTACTGTGTATGCATTGATGGTAAATGGATGTGAGGGCGAGTATACCAAGTAGGATCACATCTTTGTTTCACGTATGTGGATGCCAGTTATTTAAATGAGCACATAAATTAATATTTAATTAAAACACATAGATCTGCTTTGTTTTTTGAAAAACAAAAGGCAAGTTCCCAGCAACCAACTTTGGATTCTTTCTGTTCCCATAAAACTAAAAAATGAACCCCTTGTGTCTTTGTTAACCCATCCTTTCATTTATTCATATAATTAGCCAAAAAAGGATGGCTACATACCAATGGATTGATTCTCTTAATTGCCACAGCAAGGGGACGATCCTATCATGACTTAGCATCAAGCACAGTTCAGAACAACTGTCTCCTGTCAAAGGTTATCCTCTCAAATGTCACATTTTGCTTTTATGTTTCAATAACTGTGTATGTAAAAAACAAATATTTAAATTACAATCTTAGACTAAAAATGTGTTTATAATAAGATATGGATATTTCCTTCAGTAGATTGTAACCATAATTTAAATTATTTTGTTCCACACTGTTTTTTATATCTGTCATGTACATTGCATTTTGACCTGTAACTGCACGACCCTGGGGTTCGCTGCAGAGCTGTTTCTTTCCGTGTAAAGTAGTGGATCCATCTTGCTTTTGCCTTATATAAAGCCTACAGTTATGAAAGTGTGGGAAACTGTGGCTTCTCAATAAATAACTATTCCATTGTCCTAAGAATATATGTTTGAGTCTATCTTCCTCTGTCTCCTCTGAAAGTCAGAACCGAAACACCACAGCAGGATGAGATGGAAAAGGGAAAGGAAGAGGTAATTTCCTAGAGTGTTCTTGAAACTGTTGGAGTGGGTCATTTTCAAATGCTTGTTCTCTATGAGAGACTGCCCAAAATTCTGTTAATTCAGACTCCACTAATTCAGAATCTGTGGGCATTTGGATATGTTGGGCAGATTACGCTTGCATTATAGGATAAATAAGGGTTTGCTAAGCAAGTGAGTAGTGTAAACGAGAGAAATGTTTCTCCTGTACGAAGAGAAGGCCAACAAACTGTTTTTAAGCACCACTTTAACAGCAGTGTTTGCATTCAAACAAAGTGTGTGCCAATTATATATGATTCTTATATATTTGTTAAAGCATTTTACAAGATTCTCTAAGATATGGAGTACTCTTCTTGTTCCTCAGGCCCTGTCAACAATACAACCACCTAGGTTTGTGAGAAATCAAACATTTCATGGTCTTGTTGGCTTTATTTGTGTCTGTCACTAAACTGAGCTGATCTTTCTTCGAGTTGACTTAGGTTTTAGAGAAACAGCAACTTTTTTAATGGGACCAGGTGGGATGATCACCAATTGTTCTCAATAAAAGAATCCCTCTAGATGGCACATTTCACTTAGTTTAGTCCTTGAGGTCTGCAGGTACAAACCAACAGTACTTCCTGCCTTTCCTGGGTTTCTGAGAAGAGCTCCCATTTATTAAGCAACTATTCCATTCCAGGCACTCTGCATATATTATCTCATGTAAATCTCACAATCACTATAAGAGGAGAGGACTTTTATTATCTTCATTACAGATAAGGAAAGTAAGCTCAGAAAGGCTAAGCTAACTTGCTCAGTGGTTACACAACTCCATGCAGAAACATTAATTCAGAGATAACAGCATAAAACTGGCAATACAAATGATGGGAACATATCTTTCGGTGTGAAAAACCATTGATTGCCCAATGACACATAGTCAAGTCAGAGTGGTAAAGGCAAGATTATTAACTTATTCATTCATTCATTGAGTCGGGGTCTTACTCGGTCACCCAGACTAGAGTATAGTGGCATGATCAGTGCTCACTGCCACCTCAATCAAGAAATTCTCTCCCTTTAGCCTCCCAAGTAGATGGGACTACAGGTATGTGCCACCACACCCGGCTAATTTTTTTTTTTTTTTTTTTTAGAGACAAGGTCTCACTATGTTGTCCAGGCTGATCTCAAATTCCTAGGCTCAAACAATCCTCCTGCCTCAGCCTCCCAAAGTGCTGGGGTTACAAGCATAAGCCACCACACCCACCCCAAGATTTTAAAAAAATATATTATTCAAGTCATATGTCTTGCAGTAATTACAAATAATTTCTAAATGGGCCGAGTAAAGAGGGAGCATCTTTGCAGTGTATAAAAGTTGGTAAAAGAAGGAAAATGTTCAAGAGCCCTGGAAGAGAGCTAAGTGAATGGGCTAGATGACTAACCAAAGGGCATAATTTAAAAGTCATAAATAAAAGACTGTGTCTTCATACCGAGGAAAATTCTTCCCACAGGAGAATTCACCACTGCCTAGCACTTAGGATCCCATTAAATAGCATCCTTAGTGTGGCAATCCTGGAAAAGGGGCTATGCAGAAGGAAACGGCATCAGAAAAGATCAGAAACAAAGCACTGACCAAGCTATCCTTAGGACAAATGCAGAGCTGAGAAGACAGCTTTGGTATCTTGAGCTTTCTTTTTTATTTCTTTGAGATGGTATCTTCAGTCTTCCCCTTTTTTCTTTTTAAATTTTTAATTATAATATACATACAGAAGAGTACACAAATTCTGTGCATATAGCTCGATGATTTATCACAAAGTGAACACACCCATGAAACAACCACCAGTAAAGAAATAGAACTTGCTGGGCACAGTGGCTCACACCTGTATTCCCAGCACTTTGGGAGACTGAGGCGGGAGGATCTCTTGAACCCAGGAGTTCAAAACCAGTCTGGGCAACATAGCAAGATCCCATTTCCATATCACAAAAAAGAAAAAGAAAGAAAAGAGAAAGACTGAAGACCCCCCATCAGAGACCCCATGCCCATGCCCCTTCCCAATTGCTACCCACTCCTTACTTGCCAAAGGTAACCATTATCCTGATTTTTAATAACATAGATTAACTTGCCTATTTAAAACTTTTATGTAATTACAATCACAGTACATATTCCTTCATGCCTGGATTCTTTGACTCTACATTACATTATTGGTGTAGCTGTGGTTCATTTCATTTTGTTGCTTGAATGGTATTCCAACGTACAAGTATATCACAATTGATTTATCTATGTTAAAATATTGTTTTCCATTTGGGGCAATTATAAACACTGCTGCCATGAATTTCCTTGCATGTGTCTTTCGGAGCAATTGTTAGGTCATAGAGTAAAAGTATGCTCAGATTTAGAAGATGCTGTCAGTTTTCCATAGAGGGTGAACCAAGTTATACCCTTACCAGCAATGAATCAAAGTCCCTGTTGTTCTACATCCTTGACAACATGAGGTATTGTCACTCCTTAATTTCCACCATTCTAGTAAGTGGTATGGTCATTTATAACTGTAGTTCACTAATTTAAAAGCAGAGTTGATTGCCTTGTACCACGTGTATTGGTAATTTGGATAGCCTCTTTTGTGAAGTGCATGTTTAAGTCTTTCTTGCTTTCCTTTTAAAAAGAGGAAAACTATAGAGCTATTTGAAGGCTGAGAGAGAAGAGGCCATAGGAAAAAGTGCCAGATGGATGGCAAAGATGTCAAGGAAAATGCTAACCTGTTGGAAAAGCATTCACCCAGCCTCTCTCCAGTTCATCTCTCAGTATCCAGACAGATCTTTCAAAAAGGCAAGTGTGATCTTGTCTCTCCTCAAAAGCATCCAATTGCCCTTTTCTCTTAGAACGAAGGCCAAATTTCCTAAGGTGGCATGTAAGGCCCTGTATGATCTGACCCTTGTCTACCTCTCTAGCCTCCTCTGTGAACCCTACCCCTCTTCCTCTCAGGGTTCGTCTACTCCCACCACCTTCCATCTTCTGCTCTCCACCATGGTTCCTACCACCTTGGGCCCTGTCGTGAACCACCTCATCTCATCCTTCAGATCCCAGCTATATCTGACTTCCCCCAAGGAAGCCTTTCCACACCCCACTCTCAGTTCAGCGTTCATTTCCTTAGAATCTATCCTCATAACACTCCTTACTTCTCTTAGTATTCATCACACTGTTCATGAACAGGTTATTTGAATCATTACATTTCATGCATCTTTTCTCTACTTCAGGAGGGCATGGGCTGCACCAACTTCCCCACTTTATGTCCAATGTGTTCAGTACATATGTGACTAACAACTGAAAGTCAAAAGTACAAGGATGGAGATGATGATCTCGTTGCTATTCTCCTAGAACCTTCAGGTAATATAAATCTTCAAAAGACACATCGACTAAATATTACCGGGGAGAAGGAAATGAAGGCTTTCCAGAGGAGGTAGGCCATGAATAGCACATTAAAAAGATTGGGAAGGACATGAACAAGAGCAGAGGGAGGCCAGGGGATGTGCCACTAGGCTGGAGCTCCACAAAGATGGGAAACTCTTCTCCAATGGATTCCCAATGCACATAGTAAACACTTAACAAATACGTGTTGACTTAAGACATTAATGAATATGCTCTTGGGCCAGGCCTGGTGAATTGTGCCTATCTCAACATTTTGAGAGACTGTTGCTAAGGTAAGAGGATAGCTTGAAGTCAGGAGTTCAAGATCAGCCTGAACAACATAGCGAGACCTTGTTTCTACACACACACAAATGAATATGCTCGGTGTGTTAGCTTCTTAGAAAGATTTATGCAAAGGTTTGGGAGAGATTAAGATGGGAAGAGTAGATTAAGGTGTCAAAAGAGGACATTTAGTTTCATTTAGTTTGGGTTTGTTGGTCTGCATAGCCAAGAGCTAACTACTATTTTTAACTTTTTTCCAAAACATTTAAAGAAATTTTTTAAGTTAAAAAAAATCAAATAGAACAGAATTATATGAAACAAAACGTTCAAGCCTCTCCCCCCAACACCCATTTCCCCAAAGTAGCCATTGCTAACAGATGGGCATATATTCTTCCAAATATGTTCAAATCATATACAAGTATATTGGAGATTATATATATATAAATGGGAATCATCCTGAGCCTACTATTTGGCAAATCACATTTTCCATTTATCAGTGTAGGATCGTTTGTACCTCTGCACATATAGACTTTCCATATAGACCATATAGACCACATATAGACCAGTACTTTGGTGATGGGTGTGATGTATTTAAGGAGATTTTCTGATCAAAGAAGAAACAGGAGCAAAATAAGGTAAACTGAAAATCCAGGATGAAATTCGGATGGATCAAAACATAATGGAGGAAATGAGCCATCTGTGGAAGTGACCTAAAAGACTGTTTGGAAATGTGTGACTAAAGAATTTCTGAAACGCCCCAAATTCAGTCCCAGTCTAACTGCACTGTATCACAGTTATCTGTTTATGTATCTGTCTCCCTGCTAGACTACTGCCAACTCCTTGAGGTCAGGGATTGTGTATTCATTTCTGTATGCCTGTCTGGTGCCTGGGATACAGTAGGCACTCAATAAATATTGGTTGAGTATAAAGCGTAAACATCAGAGGAGCACGCCTGAGTACAATCATGACCAAGAAAGCATAAACTAAATGTACTGCAGTATACTCTGTCTATAAAGAAAGAATTACAAAAGAAGGTGGAGAATCGCGGTGCTTTTAGAAAAGCCACCCACCTCACCACTACCACAACCTGAATTTCCAGTGCATGTATGAACAGTCATACTGTCATAAACTTAGATTTCTATCAAAAGTTTAGGAAATTAACAAAACAAAAGCTGTATCATTATTGCTTATGCCCAAAACGCAATGGGTTCCTTTCTTTTCCATTTTAAAATCCAAAATAAGTGTGTTC